CTCCCTGCTAAGGTGCCTGGGAAGGCAGCGGAAGACGGTTCAAGCACTTGGGCCCTGCCACCCACGGCGGACCCCTGAATGGAGTTCCAGGCCCCTGGCTCTGGCCTAGCCCAGCCCGGGGTCATTGCAGCCATTTGGAGAGTGAACCAGTGGATGGAAAATCTCTCTGTCTCTCTGTCTTTCAAATAAATCTTAAAACATATGCACACACACGCACACAAAACAAAGAAAAACAAACCACCTTCTGCTAAAGCACAGGCTAAAAGGTAATCAAGACTCTCCCAAGTATGGAGCCCAAACGGCAGAGGGAGGGCACTCATAGCTCAACAGGTGGTCCGGGGGAACTCTGAAGCCACAGCCCTGTGGAGGCGGGATCTTGCATGGGGGCGTGGCCTTGCGGGTGGTCACATGACCAAATGACATATAAACGTCTCTAAAGAGAACTTGCTGAATAAGATGGAGAACAGGATGCTTCTTAGAGGATCTGCACGTATGTTGTTGTCTAGGTTCTCAGCACTGTGGTCAAAGTATTATTGAGACAAGCTTTAACAGGAAATATGTATAGAATAGGAATCAATGCTGTATAGGCATTTTACCAACACACTTTAGGGAAATTCTATGATGTTGAGCTTAATTTAAAAAAATACTTTCATTGTAATATATGGTTAGGTTATTGTCCTTTTGACAGGCATCAAATTCCATGATAAAGTATAACTTGTACAAATTAGTAGTTAGAATGAGTGATAAAATTAATCTATAAAATTCCTTCAAGTTTTCACCTGGCCCAGTCTTACCTCTTTACATGATGTGCGCAGTACATGCTCAGAAAACGAAGTCTGCAGATTATAAAAAAAAAAAAAAAAAAAAAATCCTTAGGTGGCTCAGGTGTACTCCAAAGCTTTGCCCCTACCAGGCAGGGCTTTTGCGCTGTGGGCGGGGCCTCGGTGGCCACGCCCCCTGGGCGGAGTGTAAGCCGGCCGCGCGGGAGCTGGCGCGCCCCCGCCGTTTCCTAGGAGACGAAACACACAGGCCGCGGGAGCTTCACAAGGGAGCCCACGAGGTGAGCCGCCGGCGCGGGCAGGTAGTCCCGAGCGGGCTGCGGGGCCGCCACCGTCCTGTCCGACCCAGCCCCAGCCCGTCCTGCGAGGCCGGCCCGGCATGTCCCCTCGGCGCCCTGCCGGGAGCCTGGACCGGGACGCCGGTAGGGAAGGCGGGCGGGATGCCGGGGCTCTCCGGGGCCAGCTGTCCGGCGCTCGCAGTCCGGCCGGGAGGCGGGAGGCGGTCGGGGCTCCCCGAGGCCGGCTGTCCGGGACCGGCTGTCCGCGGGATCGGCCGGGACGCGGGGTCCGCCTGCGCGGGAGGCGGTCGGGGCTCTCCGGGGCCGGCTGTCCGCAGGGTCGGTCCGGACGCGGGAGGCGGTCGGGGCTCCCTGAGGCCGGCTGTTCGCCGGGTCGGCCGGGACGCGGGGTCCGCCTGCGCGGGAGGCGGTCGGGGCTCTCCGGGGCCGGCTGTCCGAGACCGGCTGTCCGCAGGGCTCTCCAGGGCCGGCTGTCCGTGGGGTCCGCCTGCGCGGGAGGCGGTCGGGGCTCTCCGGGGCCGGCTGTCAGCAGGGTCGGCCCGGACGCGGGAGGCGGTCGGGGCTCCCCGAGGCCGGCTGTTCGCCGGGTCGGCCGGGACGCGGGGTCCGCCTGCGCGGGAGGCGGTCGGGGCTCTCCGGGGCCAGCTGTCCGCAGGGTCGGCCCGGATGCGGGAGGCGGTCGGGGCTCCGTGAGGCCGGCTGTTCGCGGGGTCGACCGGGAGGCGGTCGGGGCTCTCGGAGGTCAGTTGTCCGGGGCCGGCCGGTTCGCGGGAGGCGGTCGGGGCTCCCCGAGGCCGGCTGTCCGGGGCCGGCTGTCCGCAGGGCTCTCCAGGGCCCGCTGTCTGCGGGATCGGCCGGGAGGCGGTCGGGGCTCCCCGGGGTCAGCTGTCCACGGGGCCGGCCGGGCAGCCCTCAGCCTGGGTCTCGGGGGGCCGCGGAGTGGGGTTCAGGACAGTCGCGAAGTTTGAGCGGAGGAGGAAGTCAGCGCTCGCTGGCGCGGCCCGAAGGTCGCGCAGGTGAAGGTGCTCCCAGCCGCGCGCCCGGGGCGCCCGGGGGTCGCCCGCCAGCCCGCCCGCGGAGACCCGGGCCGACTCCTCCCGGCCGGCCGGGTGATCGACTCCAGCCCTGGCTGGTGGAGAAGGCTCGGAGCGCCTGTGCCTTCCCTGCGGATGAGGTTTGAATTTAGGAGCAAGGAAGCCAGTGGGTAGCAACCCCCGCTGCAAGGAAACAGGCTCACGTGATTGCGTTTAGATAAGCTTTGGAAATAAGTAGGTATTTGTTCAAGGAACCAGCTTGATTTTAATCAGGAAAAATAACTCATTGCGTCCAAGTGGTGGTGGAGACAAGTGAGCCGGGACCATGTTGCATCTCTTCCTTGGGGTGCTTTTTCTTCGTTCTTTAGAATGGTTTGTGGTATTAGCACAGAGCACTGTGCTTTCTTTTAAAACAGAATTTTTGTCTTCCTGTTGCAATAATAGCCCCTCTTCAGACGTCTATAAACATATCACTTGGTTAGTGCTAAATATATTTTTTTCTGTTTTGCTTTTTAAACACTTAGTGCGTTTAGAAACACTAATTACTGTGTTGTCTTACAAACAGTAAGACCGCCCTGGAAGTGGGATCCTGATAGTGGGTTCTACAAAGACAAGCTGAGCATATCCAGTCCTCACACCTGTTCTGGGATTGGCAGAGGAGAGTTTTAACCTCCATTTGCCCTCTATGTTAATCTTTTTTAATCCTGTCTAAATCCCTTATTAGCTGGCCAAAGCTGTGGAGAGCCCAAGTTTACAATAATCGTACACTTAGATAAACAGAAGACAACTAGAATGGGAGATAAATTATATGGGTATTTGGTGAAGGTCTATAATTGAGACTCTAGTTAAATGTCTTTTTCTTTAAATCAGAACATAAACTTCATTTAATCCATAGGAAACATACTAAATATTGTAGCCTAGTTGTAGAGAATTCTGAGTTCTGAACAATTACGTTAAATTGAGGATTATATTTCTATTGTACTTTGGTTTTGTTGCATATATGTCATAATATAGTCCGTACATAAGAAACCATGTTAGTGTGAGTATGCATGGATTCCAAGATTTTTTTCCTCCAAAATAAATGTATCTTTTGATTATTTTTTCCACAAACTTGTTTAAGTACCCTCATACATTCCTGTCTTGCAAAATTAGTTTTCTACAGGTCAACAAAGAATACATGTAATTGGTAGAGAAACACTGTACACGTGTGGAGAACCACAGGCAGGCTATGTATTTTAACTTACCTGTACTGTTGTTTACAATTTTTATTTCTTTGAAAGGCAGACAGAGAGAGAGAAAGACAGACAGACATCAATCTTGCATTCACTGGTTCACTCCCCAGATGCCTACAACATCCTGGCTGGGCCAGGCCTAAGGCAGAAACCGAGAACTCAATCCAGTCTCCCACGTGGGTGGCAAGGACTTGAGTCATCACTTGCTGTCTCCCCAGGTGCACATTAACAGGAAGCTGGAATCAGGAGCAGAACCAGGACTCAAATCCAGGCACTCTGATGCGGGGTGTGGGCTTCACAAAGAGCATCTTACCACCACTCCAAACGCTGGCTCGCATTACGGCTTTCTGACAAGTAACCAGTTTAGGACCTTACTGTGCTATGTTGAAAAACCTAGTTGTCTATATACTGTCCATGTGTAGGTCCATTAGAACCCTGCCTTGTATCTGTGCCTCCACATCGTCCCTGTATTTTCAGGGGGGTGGAAAGGACAGCTTCTCACATTGGAGTTTACTTTGTAATTAGTATTCCTCGAAAGAGGACTTGCTGAGCCTCTTGTTTCGGAGGGTAATGTGCACATTGGTTTTCCTGGAAGGCGTGGTAGGGCTTAAACTGAGGAGAACCTCAGAGAACCATGAATCAGACCTCTGCAAAATCTACGCCAGACCCATAGTCTGTGCCACATCACCCCGCAAGCAGAAAGCAGCTGGCAAGTGACCGTGCTGTTTCTTCTTCCCCAAGGATAAGTAGAGCCAGTCCTGAAGCCATCCTCAGCTGCAACAAAACAAAACTGTGTTTCCCATGTTTATTTGGAAGTTACTGCTCTGGGTTGGCCAGTAAATGTTTCGAAGAAGACTCTCTAATGCAAATTGACTTTATTTTTATTTTTATAGGGTGTCCCTAAGAATGGAATCACTGTTTCCTTGCCAGATTCCTTATTACTGTACTGCGTAATCTTGGGGAAGAGCCTTTGTTTAATGAATGACGAGCCTGTCACCAGTGGAGCGACAACAGTGAGCGAGCAAAGACAAAAGTGAAGAAGTTGCTTCCGCTCCTGTTGGACAAGGAAGAGCGTTCGGTCAGTGACTGCCGTAGCGTCTGTCCAGGATGAACCGATACACAACCATGAGACAGCTGGGAGACGGCACCTATGGGAGTGTGCTTATGGGCAAGAGTAACGAGTCTGGGGAGCTGGTGGCCATCAAAAGGTACGTGTCTGACACTGCGAAGTGCACCTTTGAAATTCCCATCTCTGCCTCCCTGACAGTGGACCCAAGCGCACGGAGAGGTCCAGTGTAGAGCCCACGCTCATTTGGCTAATGGGCAGCGCCATCCTGGAAAAAGACATTACCAAAAAGGACTATTCTCCTGATGTCCACATATGTTATCTGAATGGTCTGGGCTGCCCAGCTGTCTTGATAACCCCAAAGAAACATGAGTGTTATGCATAAAATATGCGGGCTGAAATGAAAGGTCATCTTTGTAATGTTTGCAAATTTAAAATTGCAAACAGAGTATGGCTTGTTATTTCTTTAAAATAATAGGCATCAAATCAGTTCCTTTTTTTTTTTTTCCAGGCAGAGTTAGACAATGAGAGAGAGAGACAGAGAGAGAGAGAGAAAGGTCTTCCATCCATTGGTTCACTCCCCTAATGGCCACTATGGCTGGCGTGCTGCGCCGATCTGAAGCCAGGAGCCAGGTGCTTCCTCCTGGTCTCCCATGTGGGTGCAGAGCCCGAGCACTTGGGCCATCCTCCACTGCACTCCCGGGCCACAGCAGAGAGCTGGACTGGAAGAGGAGCAACCGGGACAGAATCCAGTGCCCCAACCGGGACTAGAACCCGGGGTGCCGGTGCCACAGGCAGCCTATTGAGCTGCAGCGCCAGCCAAATCAGTTCTTCATAATGTCAAATTGAGTTCTGAATGGCATATAGTATGAGGGTACCTCGAAAGGTTCATAGGAAATGAAATTAAAAACATTTAAAAAATTAAAAGATGTTTTAGTGCATAAAAAGTCTTGAAATCCATGCATAGTTTTCCCATGATACACATTTTCCATGAACTTTTTGAAGAATTCTCCTCTGCATGGATTTCAAGCATTTTTTACACCTAAATAAACTTATTTATTAATCTCACTCTCTAGGAACTTTTTTGAAAATATGCTTATATTTTCCCAAGCTTACCAATTAAGTAGAATTAAGTATGATTAATTTAATTGTTCCTTTTAATCTCCCATATTGTCCCCTTTAATCTCCTGTATTTTTCTACACTACATACCCCAAAGCTTAGTTGATTTAAAATAGGATCAAACATTTACCAGCTCACACAGCTCCTGTGGGTCAGGAATTTAGCACCGGTGTAACTGGGTGGTGTGGGCTCGCAGTCTCATGGGGTGGCAGTCAGCTGTTGGCCAAGGTTGCAGCAGTCAGAAGGCTGGACCAGGGCTGGGAGGATTCACTTGTAGGGTGACTCAATATGTTAGTCTGCTAGGGCCAGGCCACAGACTGGGTGACTTAAACAACAGAAAGATATTTCCTCACAGTTCTGAAGCAGGAAGTGTGAGATCCAGGGGTTGGCAGGGTTGGTTTCTTCGGAGGCCTTTCTCCTTGGTTTGTAGATGGCTAGTCTTCTGACATCTCCACCTGGTCTCCCCTCTGTGTGCGGATCTGTCCAGACGTCCTCTTTAAGGACACCAGTCATATCCTAAAGACATCATTTAACCTTGACTACCTATCTCTTCATCATTAACCTGCCCCCAGGTGCACTGACATGCCCAGGCACCTGAGGTGAGGACCTACACATTTGAATTTTGGGGGAGACAAAAATCAGCCTGTACAGGGGTGTTGTAATAAAATAGCACACACTGGGTAGCTTGAATACCACATTTACTGTCTCACCAGCCTGGAGCCCACAAGTCTGAAATCAAGGAGTTGGCAGGGGTGGTTTCTTGTGAAGGCTGTGCGGGAAGCATCCGTTCCAGGCCTCTTGCCCGGCTTGTATAAACCATGTTCTCCCTGTGTTTACAGGACCTCCTCCCCGTGAGGATCTGTGTCCAAATTTCCTCTCTCTGTAAGGATGCTAGTCATGTTGGATTGACCCCACTGAACTTGATTACCTCTGCAGAGACTTACCTCCATGTAGAGTCCCACTCTGAAGTACTGGGCGTTAGAACTTCAATATGTGAACTCCTGAGGGGTGCAGTTCAACCCGCAACACTCACACGTGGCTGGCAAGTCTGTACTGGGGCTGTTGGCAAGAGGCGTCAGTTCCTCCTCACATGGAACTCTCCAGAGGGTTGCTGGAGCAGCCTCATGACATCATAGTTGGACAAGTCTTAGAAACTGATTACCACGTCATCCAGAGTATGACAACGTAAAATGCAATCTTGTTTTAAAAGATTTATTTTGTTTATTTGAAAGGCAGTTATGGAGAGAGAGGTCTTCCATTCGCTGGTTCACTCCCCAAATGGCGGCAATGGTTGTGGCTGGGCCAGGATGAAGCCAGGAGCTTCTTTCCACGTGGTTTGCAGGGGCCCAAGAACTTGGGCCATCTTCTGCTGCTTTCCCAGACACATTTGCAGGGAGCTGGATAGGAGGTGGAACAGCCAGGACTCAAACCAGCATCCATATAGGAAGCTAGTGCCGCAGGCACTGGCTTTACCCACTACATCACAGTGCTGGCCTCGTAAAATACAATTTTTAAAATTATTCATTTATTTTTTTGAAAGGGTGCAGAAGAGAGAGAGTGAGAGAGAGCGAGAGATATTGATTGATCTTCCATTCACTGGTTCACTCCCCAAATAGCTGTAGCAGCCAGGGTTGGGCCAGGCCAAAGCTAGGAGCCAAGAAAGTGGGGCTACTGGCAGCACCTACATGAGTTCTCGAGCACGGGAGGGCCAGCGTGGTGCAGGCTGGGGAGGGGGGACTCTGAGAATATGTGTGCGACCTTGAGAAAATAGTGGAGAGAGGCTGACCGTGGGACCCAAGCTGGATGAGGCAGCAGGGATGCAGCTGTAGGAAGAGCGACTGCAGGGTAACGATGGTGCGTGGTCAGTCTGCAGCACTGCAGGTTGAGGACCATGCCCCATGACCACATGGCGTTCTTGAGTAACTGCAGGAGGACAGGGGTCTTGCAGTTCAGGAGCTGGCGGAATTATCAGTATGAATGTTCACGATAGCCACTATTCCCTCCAGTTCTGGACAAGATGGAAAAGCAGCATCGTTATGTACACGACTCGTACAAGAAGTCTCTGCCGTTTCATTCAAGCTGATGGGAAGGAATAAATTCTACCTGAATATTAGACCCCTTATTTTCCATTCTCGATTTATTCCTGTCCTCCAAACTTACATCCCAAACTATCCAATCAGGACCATCATTTTATCTTTGGTGGTATAAAATTTTCAGCATTCCCAATTTAGGCCATGAATGTTACAGGTATAGCACTTTGGATAACCGTTTAAAGTCACCTCACTAAGTTAACACATATTTATTAAGCTCTGCCTTTCAGGACTGTCAGGCGGCAGGCAGTTCCTTCCAGGGGGCATAGAAATCCACCTGTCATTCAGCAAACAGTTCTGAACAAGCCGCCGTGTGCAGACTGGTATTGGGAGTATCCTCAAGGAGCTTACGTCTGGGGAGAAGGACTAAACCTGTTAAATTAGCGAATGATGGAAGGTGGCAGAAGACCATGGGTGCTGTGGGGAAAAGGGCAGACTGAGAAAGGCTACCAGGGAATGTGGTGGATCTTCACAAAGTTCATGGAAAAGTGAATTAGATACGTTTATTTGGTGTGAACATTTTTGCCTAGTTTTTACCTAATATACTCATTTTCCACGAACTTTCTGAAGACCCCTTGTGTGCTTGCATTTCAAAACCTTTTTTGCAGTGAAATAAACTTGTCTTGCATTCCACTTTCCAGGAACTTTCTGGAGCGTGCTTCCCTTCTCTTAGGACGAGTAGTTGAGAGTAGCCCAGAAAGCAGTGCAGGACGTGAGTGAAGTAAGGACAGCCCGAAACGACCTTGCACTTCTGACCAGAGAGTTCTTACTAGATGCTCTGCCAGGTTTCTTTTCCTGTCTTCACAGGCCTGCACCTCTGTCTTTCAGGGCTCAGCTGCAGTATACCTTATCAAAACAGACTGGCCATTATAGGCTTAACGATCCCAGTGTGGATTGGCTTGTGTCCTTTTTTTTTTTTTTTTTTGACAGGTGGAGTTATAGACAGTGAGAGAGAGAGAGAGACAGAGAGAAAGGTCTTCCTTCTGTTAGCTCACTCCCCTAATGACCGCTATGACTGGAGCTACGCCGATCCAAAGCCAGGAGCCAGGTGCTTCCTCCTGGTCTCCCATGTGGGTGCAGGGACCCAAGCACTTGGGCCGTCCTCCACTGCCCTCCCGGGCCACAGCAGAGAGCTGGACTGGAAGAGGAGCAACCAGGACAGAATCCAGTGCCCCAACCGGGACTAGAACCTGGGGTGCCAGTGCCACAGGTGGAGGATTAGCCAAGTGAGCCACAGCGCTGGCCTTGGCTTGTGTCCTTCTATCTAATTTCTGCTTCCTATGTTGGATGGGAAACACCATGTAAACCCCCTCTGATTTGTTCATTATCCTGAATGCATGAAAGAGGATGACAAGGGACCTAGAGGAAAACGCCTTTTCTTAGTCACTCTAAGAAACTGGGTTTTCTTGGGATAACTGCTTTGAAGGAAACTTCTGTATGTGTTGTAGAACAGATAATATGCCTCGCCTGAGGGCAGTCTTGCTGAGAAATGGTACTCGTGGGAAGGAAAGTAGCAATGTTAGTCAATATGGAAGAACAGAAGACAGATTTTACAAGAAGAATCAAAGCTTAGTTATTACTGAACTGTGAAAAGTAACTTAAATGTAGTTTTATCTGACTTCTAAAAGATTGGATATTTTTAAAATTTTCAAACTACTTTTTTAAAAGATTTATTTATTTATTTATTTGAAAGACAGAGTTACAGAGAGGCAGAGAAAGAGAAAGATCTTCCATCTGTTGGTTCTCTCCCCCAGATGGCCGCATGGCCGGAGCTACAATGATCTGAAGCCAGGAGCCAGGAGCTTCTTCTGGGTCTCCCACATGGATGCAGGGGCCCAAGGACTTCTTCTACTGCTTTCCCAGGCCATAGTAGAAAGCTGGATTGGAAGTGGAGCAGCTGGGTCTCGAACCAGCGCCCATGTGGGATGCCCATGCTTCAGGCCAGGGCATTAACCCGCTGTACCACAGCGCTGGTCCCTGACTTAAATCTCTTAACTTTGTGGACTTGTCTAATCAGAAGTAGATCAGATTTGTTGATAAAATCACTACATTTTCTACCACAAATTTCTATTTTCTTCCCTTGCTTCCCTCTGCTTGGTGAAGGCTTATGCTATGTGATATCTGAAATTCTGTTTTAATAGAAAGGTGAGAATCCATCCATCCCCCTTTGAGTGAGTTACTGACACTTCCCTAAGCAGTTCCAGAAAGAGGAAAGGTGGGAGAAGTCCTCTCAGCAGAGCAGACACAGGGACAGTGAGAACTCGCCCAGAGGGGAGATGAATGGCACTTCTCCCACGTCTCTGTTAAAGCAGAGTTAGGAGGTGACAGAGGCAGGAGCCTTCGCCACGCAGCCTTGGGGTACATCGGAAGGGGGTGGTTTGCCCGGGGTGAATCAGCGGCTCTGTCCTTGTACACTAAACTTTTCCTCGTTTATTTCAGGATGAAGAGAAAGTTCTATTCTTGGGATGAATGTATGAACTTGAGAGAAGTGAAGGTAAAATCCTAAAAATAGAAAGAACTGAAGAAAGCCCTTAATTCTACTTCATACCTGAGGATGATAACTAAGGAAATCATTCTATTCTCCAGGGGATTCATTCTAAAGAAAATTCTGTTTAGGTTTTTTCTTTAACTTTCTGAAGTATTTTTTCATTTCTTTTGGTTTTGATGTCAGTGAAAAACAGAAAATAATTATACCCTCATATTGAAAAGTTCATCCTCACTACTTCTTTTTTTTTTCTTTTAAGATTTATTTATTTGAAAGAGTTACACAGAAAGGAGAGGCAGAGAGAAAGAGAGCGGTTTTCCACCCATTTGTTTATTCCCCAAATGGCCGCAACAGCCAGAGCTATGCTGATCCAAAGCCAGGAGCCAGGAGCTTCTCCTGGGTCTCCCATGCGGGTGTAGGCGCCCAAGGCCTTGAGCCATCTTCTACTGCTTTCTCAGGCCATATCAGAGAGCTGGATCAGAAGTGGAGTAGCTGGATCTTGAACTGGCGCCCTTATGGGATGCCGGCACTGCAGGCGGTGGCTTTACCCTCTACGCCACAGTGCCAGCCCCACCCTTACTTCTAAAAGAGCATCTTAATTCATATTATCAAAGGAAAGATAACTTTTTAAAGTTACTATTTCCTTGTATTTTATATTATTATGACTTGGACAAATTTTTGGAGACTTTTGCATGGAATTGCACATAATTAAGTCAAAGAAAAGTTAGCCCTGTTTAACAGACTGAAAAAAAAGTAACAGATTGCAGTATGTAGTAAATACTTCTGACTTGTTTTATTTTGGCACCTGACATTCATTGCTTAAAGGAATTCCTACTTGCCTTAAATAGATGTTTTATAAAATTACGTAGATGTTAAGATATAATTCATTGATGAATCTAGAAGAAATTGAATATTACTTAAGGTGATTGTTACTTAGCATTAATCAAATTTTGTCAGCTTCTGTAATTTTTCTTGTAGAAATTGTAATGCTTATATGCTGTTTTGCAGTCTCTGAAGAAACTTAATCATGCCAATGTGATTAAACTTAAAGAAGTTATCAGAGAAAATGACCATCTTTATTTTATATTTGAATATATGAAAGAAAATCTCTATCAATTAATGAAAGAGAGGTATGTTTTTATCCTGTAAAACTGTAATTTTTCCCTATAATTTATGCTTTGAGTCCTCTGGATCCTTTCAGTATGTCAGACCTCACAGTAGACAAGCCAGTCACCATAAGAAGTAGATTCACATTAGTTAGCTCTGTTATCTGCATCAAAGGTAGCAGGTAACACTGGAGAAGAGCCACTTACAACAGAGCCATGAGTTTTCTCTTGTAATTCCTTACAAATAGAGGTAAATATTTCATGTAAACATACGTACTCTCTATCGAATTTGATTTTTCAAATAAAAACCTATCTAGAGTTTAGTCCTCAGTAAGAAAGCTGGCCTTGGGCACCGTTGAGACGATGATCTTCCTTGCTCTCCCAAGCATCTTGTGAAAGGTAAGTGAAACAGTGGA